ACGAGATATGTGCACCATATACGTAAGGTACGCAATAAGTGAGATATGGATATGTGAGATACATGATACGAGATACATAAGATACGAGATATGTGCACCATATACGTAAGGTACGCAATAAGTGAGATATGGATATGTGAGATATGTGATACATGATACGAGATACGTAAGATACGAGATATGTGCACCATATACGTAAGGTACGCAATAAGTGAGATATGGATATGTGAGATATGTGATACATGATACGAGATACATAAGATACGAGATATGTGCACCATATACGTAAGGTACGCAATAAGTGAGATATGGATATGTGAGATGTGAGATACATGATACGAGATACGTAAGATACGAGATATGTGCACCATATACGTAAGGTACGCAATAAGTGAGATATGGATATGTGAGATATGTGATACATGATACGAGATACATAAGATACGAGATATGTGCACCATATACGTAAGGTACGCAATAAGTGAGATATGGATATGTGAGATATGTGATACATGATACGAGATACGTAAGATACGAGATATGTGCACCATATACGTAAGGTACGCAATAAGTGAGATATGGATACGTGAGTTATAAAAATTTTCAGCGATAAATTTGATGAATAAAATATTGTAAATTAATAAATTTATAATATCTTATAAGATATAATTTGTAAATAGTAAGAGAAGTAATAATAATAATATTTGGAAATTAAATAAATTTTGAAAAATTCCCAATTAATTAATAATTAATTATTTAATGGCTCCGGGACCCCAAATTAGGGGCTAACCTCTTGGGGTTGTTTGATGGGGATGAGCCCTACGACGTATGGGGTCAACATGGCCCTGAGAGCCCCAGCGATGACGGGGTTGTATGGGGCCACATCCTCAGGAGATGTCTCGGGTTCCCCAGGGGTTGCAGGGGTCGGGGAGGGGTCAGGTTGGGGGTACAGCCCCGCCAGACGCCCGCAGGCCCTCAGCGCCGCGACGCTGATCTTGTTTACAACCTCCTGCACACACAAGGAGATAAGTGGCTCAAATATTTATTAGTGGGTCAGATAGTGTCCTCATACCAACACAGTCCCTGCGCGAAGTAAATATATGAACTGCCGAGCAAAACTGGGTCAAAATGACCCAAGAAAACGAGGAAAATCATCGATATTTGGACATTGTTTCACTTATTGCCCTGAGTTGTGGGGGGGGAGAGTGGGGTTCAGGGTGCTGCTCCGCCCACCTGGGCATTGGACTTCTGCCCCCGCTGCCCCGCCCACCTGGGCATTGGACTTCTGCCCCCGCTGCCCCGCCCACCAGGGCATTGGACTCCTATCTCCGCTGCCCCGCCCACCTGGGCATTGGACTTCTGCCCCCGCTGCCCCGCCCACAGCATTGGACTCCTCCCACCGCTGCCCCGCCCACCTGGGCATTGGGCTCCTCCCCCACTGCCCCGCCCACCTGGGCATTGGGCTCCTCCCCCGCTGCCCCGCCCACATGGGCATTGGACTCCTGCCCCACTGCCCCGCCCACCTGGGCATTGGACTCCTCCCCCCGCTGCCCCGCCCTCCTGGGCATTGGACTCCTCCCCAGCTGCCCCGCCCACCTGGGCATTGGACTCCTCCCCAGCTGCCCCGCCCACCTGGGCATTGGACTCCTCCCCTTCCTGCTGCCCCGCCCACCTGAGCATTGGACTCCTCCCCCCGCTGCACGCCCCCCTCCTCCAGGGTGTAGTCGTACAGGAAGAGGCGCTGCAGGAGGTGCCACAGGACACCCGCGTGCAGGAGGCGCAGCTGCAGGATGGGGTCAACCGCCAGCCCCCCACAGCACTCGACCCCAGCTAGGCTCAGCCCCAGGTGCTCCTGCGGGGGGAACGGGGGATTAGTTATTTGCCTCAATAACAGGACAGGAGGAGGGCAAATCAGCACACCGTTAAGGAGACAGAGACGAGGGGGAAGAAGAATCTACTTTATGGTATAGAGTGTGTCAAAGGTAGGCGTATCAGGACGACCCACATGATAGAAGATGTGTCCGGTTGACCCACCTGATGGTAGAGGGTGTGACAGAGACGGGTGTGTCAGGGTGACCCACCTATTGGTAGAAGAGTGATCCATCTGATGGTAGAAAGTGTCAGGTTGACTCACCTGATGATAGAACGTGTGTCAAGGCGACCCACCTCATGATAGAAGGTGTGTCAGGACGACCCACCTGATGGTAGAGGGTGTGGCAGAGGTGGGTGTGTCAGGGCGACCCACCTGATGGTAGAAGGTGTGTCAGGACGACCCACCTGATAGTAGAGGGTGTGGCAGAGGTGTACAGGGAAGGTGGGCAGCTCAGCGATGACTCCCCTACAGGTGGGGAAGGCAGCGGCGGCGGTGAAGCAGCGGGCAGTGTGCGTGCACACCTGCACCGCCAGTGTGCTGGTGTGCTGCTTCGTGCTCAGCACACCTACACACCTGCTGTACGCCTCCTGCACGATCTGCACAGCACGACACGTGTCAGCCCACCAGCACACCTGCAGCCCAGACAACACCTACCACCCACCTGCCCACCTTCAAGTCAAAGCCCACAAAGGCCATCTGCGTTTATCCCCAGCCCACCTGTACCCCCATGCAGCCCCCAGCCTACCTGTCACACCTCCCAGTCTCCCAGCCTCCCGACCGCCTCCCGTCAACTTTAAACCTCCCAGCTCACCGGCCCACCTGCACCCCCCATCCCACTACCCGCCCTCAGTCTCCCAGCCCAACAACCGTCTACAGCCCACTTGAAACCTTCCAGTCCAGCAACCCACCTGCGCTCCCCTGCAGCACCCAGCTCGCCTCCCGCCTTCCAACCCACCGACCATCTCCCGCCACTTATAACCCCCAGACCACTAACCCACCTGCAGCCCACGTTCCCTGCAGAGCTCGGTGGCGTTGAGAGCACAGCACTGGATGGTGCGGTGGCACAGCTCGGCAGCAGCACCCAGCAGCGGGTCAGGCTTAGAGAACAGGTCGTCATCTTCACCCTCCAGCACGACCGTCTTCAGCAGCATGGGGTACCCGGCATACTTGTATGCTGACAGCACTGCATGGGGGAGGGGGGTCAGCATGGGGTACCCAGCATACTTGTATGCTGACAGCACTGCATGGGGGAGGGGGGTCAGTGCTGGGAGTGTCTATCTTCCTTAACAAATAGATAACAACCTATCAAATTATCAGTAAATTCCAAAATGAAAAAAAAATAACTTTATAATAGGAAGATGTGAATATCTGAACGTAATTCCTTGCAAAAAAATATATTTGTACGATAGTTTATACCCTAAAAAGATTTAGATACCGGCGCGACACCAGATGCCGCCTAAGACTCGGGGAGCGCGTAGACCCCTAATAACTTTAAGCGATTGCAGCGACTTTGCACAGAAGCCGGGGCGGCCCCCAAATTTTGTTAGGATACGAGTGGTGTACAGGACGCTGCCACTCACCACTGGAGTAGCGGATGTACAGGACGCTGCCACTCACCACTGGAGTAGCGGGTGTACAGGACGCCGCCACTCACCACTGGAGTAGCGGGTGTACAGGACGCTGCCACTCACCACTGGAGTAGCGGGTGTACAGGACGCGGCCACTCACCACTGGAGTAGCGGGTGTACAGGACGCCGCCACTCACCACTGGAGTAGCGGGTGTACAGGACGCCGCCACTCACCACTGGAGTAGCGGGTGTACAGGACGCCGCCACTCACCACTGGAGTAGCGGGTGTACAGGACGCCGCCACTCACCACTGGAGTAGCGGGTGTACAGGACGCCGCCACTCACCACTGGAGTAGCGGGTGTACAGGACGCCGCCACTCACCACTGGAGTAGCGGGTGTACAGGACGCCGCCACTCACCACTGGAGTAGCGGGTGTACAGGACGCCGCCACTCACCACTGGAGTAGCGGGTGTACAGGACGCCGCCACTCACCACTGGAGTAGCGGGTGTACAGGACGCCGCCACTCACCACTGGAGTAGCGGGTGTACAGGACGCCGCCACTCACCACTGGAGTAGCGGGTGTACAGGACGCCGCCACTCACCACTGGAGTAGCGGGTGTACAGGACGCCGCCACTCACCACTGGAGTAGCGGGTGTACAGGACGCCGCCACTCACCACTGGAGTAGCGGGTGTACAGGACGCCGCCACTCACCACTGGAGTAGCGGGTGTACAGGACGCCGCCACTCACCACTGGAGTAGCGGGTGTACAGGACGCCGCCACTCACCACTGGAGTAGCGGGTGTACAGGACGCCGCCACTCACCACTGGAGTAGCGGGTGTACAGGACGCCGCCACTCACCACTGGAGTAGCGGGTGTACAGGACGCCGCCACTCACCACTGGAGTAGCGGGTGTACAGGACGCCGCCACTCACCACTGGAGTAGCGGGTGTACAGGACGCCGCCACTCACCACTGGAGTAGCGGGTGTACAGGACGCCGCCACTCACCACTGGAGTAGCGGGTGTACAGGACGCCGCCACTCACCACTGGAGTAGCGGGTGTACAGGACGCCGCCACTCACCACTGGAGTAGCGGGTGTACAGGACGCCGCCACTCACCACTGGAGTAGCGGGTGTACAGGACGCCGCCACTCACCACTGGAGTAGCGGGTGTACAGGACGCCGCCACTCACCACTGGAGTAGCGGGTGTACAGGACGCCGCCACTCACCACTGGAGTAGCGGGTGTACAGGACGCCGCCACTCACCACTGGAGTAGCGGGTGTACAGGACGCCGCCACTCACCACTGGAGTAGCGGGTGTANTCACCCAGCCCCTCACCCGTCCCCCAGCGTTCTTGTCAGGATGGTAGCGGGCCGCCAGCCTGAGGTAGGCCGTCACCCTGCCCCCAGCACCTCACCCAGCACCTCACCCGTCCCCCAGCGTTCTTGTCAGGATGGTAGCGGGCCGCCAGCCTGAGGTAGGCCCTCCTGACGACGTCGTCAGCATGCCGCTGTCCCGGTGTCAGCTCGAGCTCCTCGTAGGCAGCGTCAGCACTCATGCTGGGGGGCTGCTTGTGCACCTCCTCCCGCCAGGCTGACAGCACCTTCTTCAGCAGCATCACCTGCATCAGTGTGTTACATATTAGTATGGTTATTCAGCATTACATGCAGTATTGTGTTATTTGATATGGTTATTAAAGTGAAGTGATTAATGTTGATCAGCATTAAATGCAGGATTGGGTTCTTTGTTATTAAAGTTATTCGGCATTAAATGCAGCATCTATTTTATATTATGAAAGTTAACTTAGGTTTTACGTTGATGTAAATTATATTAATCAATTTATAGAAATTTTATTTTCAAGTTTTAAAGCCACTGCTTTTCAAGTTTGCTATCTAAGATCATTTAAAGTTTTGCCGGTAATTAAAATTAGATAAATTCTATTAAGAAAGTTCTAAAGCCACCGTTATTCAAGTTCCATATCCTCAAGTCATTGTAGTTATTCAATGGAAATATTTAATATTTAGTATTTTATCGCTGATGTAACTGAAGTTCTAAAAACATTTGCTCTTCAGGTTAGTTAAGCCAAGTTTTTATTAAAGAATACCTTCATTTTTGGTTATCCTAAATGATAATATGTTAAAAATTATACAACGTACTCTTCACATAGAAATAGCTTTCAATATAATAAAATATTATATAATATAATGTTTAATATAATATAGTATGGTGCAATGTAATATTATATCATAATATAGCATAACATATATTAATATATAATATGATAAAGCACAGTAATTCATAATAATAAAAATCGTTACTTACTGGATATAGTACAGTGCAGTATAATATTATATATAATAATAAGAACCATTACCCACCGGGTCTTTAAGGCCCTGATTGAAAGCCAAGTGAAGTCTGAGAGCGAGGTTTTTGCGACCAAGTTTTGGTTTTACGGTTTTGTTCATCAAGTCTGCAACTTTTTTACTTTTTCCGAGATGTAAAAGGGTTGTAATTTTTATTCTCCATTGAATGGTATACTCGGCATCCCTTGATCAGCCTCCTTGTTTTAAATATTCTTTCTCAAAAAATAGTTATGATCGAGCCTGCTGATACGCGGAGGGAAAATACTACCGCATACTAGCTGCTCAAAGCAGGCGTTGTGGAAGGTATGAGGGGAAAGAGACGTATTAATTACTGAACTGTCAGTTCACGACGGGTGGCATGGTGAAGGCGAAGTCAATGAGGGGCGAAGAATAATACGTGGCCAGTGGTCGGCCTAGTCCAATTAGTTATAGCCGACCGCTGGCCATTCCTCGGCCACCTGAAAGCGACCAGTTGCCGCGAAGAAGGGTCTGGCTAGGATATCATATTACAAAGAGTACAAGCTCGAGGGTAGCGACTGGCCGAGCTTTGGGCAGATCAAGGATTTTACACGATGGTTGCGAAAAACTCGCTCTCAGACTTCACTGCATTCTGACTACCAGCCTTAAGTGGGCTAGTACTTAATAATTAAATCCCTGAAAAGGGATTTATTGGGACTGGACTGGATTGAATGGTGCTGAGTTGAAGTAAGTGGGATTAAGGCGGAGTGGGGATGCTGCTGAGTGGGTATGGTGGGTCTGAGTGGAGTTGAGGCAGAGTGGGATTGAGGCTGAGTGAACTAAGTGGGGCTGGGTGGGGTTGAATGATCTGAGTAGAGATACTATAGTTGGATGGGTTTGAGCGGGGTTGATGCTGGCTGGGGGTGAGGCTGAGCGGGGTTGAGGCTGAGCGGGGTTGATGCTGGCTGGGGGTGAGGCTGAGTGGGGTTGTGGCTGAGAAAGGCTTTTACAAAACCGGTATAGTGTGGCAGAATAAGCGTTTCAATATGAACCTGCGTACATTAATTCACACTATAGCTAGCAGGGCCACGGCCACTTCCCAACTCTCCTCATTTGACGATATTCCTTATTCGAAATTCACTCCTAAATTTCTCCCTAGTACAGGTTAGCCTAAATAAACGTGTATACTTACGCAGACCTGACCTACCATCAATAATATGTACGAGTTAAAAACTCTGTTCGCCAAACACAGACGGTTTTTCCAGCTAGACCCACTAACCACTGACGATGAATCGGGCGCTCTGTATACTTAGGCCGTTACGTGTACTTGAACGGTTAAATGTAATTAGTCCTCTACGTGTATTTAAGCGTGTTTTGATAGTTCGGCGTCTGAATGTTTCACAAGAATGTTTCACATGCCACTTCTGATTCAACTCGGACCCACTCAATAACCACTAGGCTGGAGCAAGAGATATTCAAGCTCACAGTTTCAAATGAAATATGGCCGCCGATTATTGTGATTTAATCAATCAGCCTAAATATTAACCAAGTAAATTTCGACGTGGAGTGAGATACCACAGTAGCAGACGTTGTCTACAGTGGCATGACTGTCCCACCAATGGCTTGACAGCAATCTTGCACTGAGAGAAATGGGCGGGTCTGGATGACCCACTTTGATGAGTCAACCGCGTCCGAAAATCGATGCACTTTTTTGACTCACTTACCCCATTTGTGGGTCATACTGACCCATTAAATTTCAAGCATGACTCACTTGTGGCGTTAAATCGCTCTGACGCTCAGATGCTAGGGAAGGTGCTGGTGTCACAGAGGTGCTTGAGGTAATAGATGTCACAGAAGAGCTCACTCTCGAGCTGGGGGAAGGTGATGTGGGGGATGGGGCAGTACTGGTACTGGGCGCGGGTGTTGCTCACCAGCCGGGGGGTGAAGTCCCCCAGGTGACATGCTATCTTCTCTATCATGTACCGCCGCATCTCGCGGTTCCAGATGACCTGACATGATTAAATTACGATAATAATTACATAATTACATAATGCTAAAGTCTGGTGTCAACCTGGCGTCTCATTGTAAACATAATTGTGTGTAATTGAGACGTTATATTCACTTGAACATCTGGTAGACACGTGACAGATCACGCGGTCAAGACCTCAGCAGTGGGCGGAAGTGAAGTCTATATAAGGGCTGCAACACTGAGTAAGGCCCCACGCAGTAGGGCCTTACGTATAGGGCATCACACAGTTCCACATCACACAGGGCCCTACGTATAGGGCATCACACAGTTCCACATCACACAGGGCCCTACGTATAGGGCATCACACAGTTCCACGTCACACAGGGCCCTACGTATAGGGCATCACACAGTTCCACATCACACAGGGCCTTACGTATAGGGCATCACACAGTTCCACATCACACAGGGCCTTACGTATAGGGCATCACACAGTTCCACGTCACACAGGGCCTTACGTACAGGGCATCACACAATTCCGCTATGTGTGATATTATATAATAATAATAATTATATTGTTAGCTTCTCTATCATATAGTGCCGCATCTCACGGTTACAGATAACCTGTTATTATTTATTTATGATAATTACATAATTATAATAGGAATAAATAATGATAATAATCATATAATTAAGGAGAGAGGTATAGATATATAGGGGAGGTATACATACCATATACAAGAGAGGTATACCATACCCATGGAGGTATACACACAGGAGAGATATACCATACCTCAGGAGGTTTAGATATACAAGAGAGGTATACATACCTCAGGAGTATCGAACTCCCCGAGGAAGATCTCAGCGAACTTGTCAGGACCGTAGTTGTGCAGGTAGCAAACCATCGCCTCTGGTAGCAGGGGGCCCAGGATGCTCTGCTGCAGGAGGTCGCCCCCCGCCAGTTGCTGAGACAGTAATTAAATTATTAAATACGTTATACTTTATTATTATATTATGCTGTAATATTTATATTAATTATTACATTATAATTTATTACTATTATATATGAAGCCCGAGCGTAGGTACCTATCAAAAAATCTCTGTACATTGATTTATGCGTTCACGACGGATCGCGAAAGGGTGGGGGGTGGTTGAGTTCTTTCACATTTAAGATAGGCGGAAATTCCCGGTAGAACACTTAAATAGCTATTCCAAACACTATGTGCTTCAGTTATCCGCCTGCAGTCAACTGGGATGGTTCTCGTGCCGCCGTTCGCACCATCCTTGACAGAAATTGAGCTCCAGTATCGTCTAGTCTTGCAACCTTGCACCCATGAATGTCTATTTCGAGGCGCTCGCCACTTTGACGGGCTCTACTGAAAAGTTAACTTATTGTCAATGCAAACCTATCTCCTCCTAGAGTTTTGAAGCTACATCAATGAGAGATATACCGTTCGATTTGCAAAGAAAAGATCTACAAAACATCGCATCCATTTTTCTGATTTCGTTATAGTTTGGATTTTATAATGCAAAACAGGAGGGGGGGGTGGCGGGGGTAAAATCGAAAAATTCAAAAAATTTTACAAAAAATGCCCCCACACCCACAAAAATGAAAAATTCAAAAAATGTATACAATGTTTTATAGATCTGGTCTTTACGCATCGAATGATATGTGTTTCGATGTTGTAACTTTAAAACCCTAGGAGGGGATAGAATTCAAAAGTACCCCCTTTTTAGTCCGTTTTCTAAGAATTTCACGTTTTCTTTCATTTTTTTCGCAAAATTCACAGGAACAAAAAAATTCTCTTTTGGTTTTACACATGTATACCAAGTTTAAAACTAATCCGTCAGTAAATAGCTGAGATAAAATTTTGCCCAGACGCTCCCCTTAATATAATGAGTTCAATGTTATGAGTGCAACCTCGGACAATAATGTAATATTTATATTAGTTATTACATTATAATTTATTATTATTAATATACTGTAATATTTAAATTATTTACTAGATTATAATTAATATTATTAGATTCCTTTAATACCTATTAATACCTAAATATGAGTTAATTAATCATGGGAAAAATTTTTATCATTAAAAAGAAAAAAAATAATTTTTAACCAAAATTAAATAGTAACATAATAATTAGAAATAAAAATTAAATTGAATAATAAATAATAATAATACGTCCCCTGTGATCTGTCACCTCCTGCGGACGGAAGGTCTGTCTGAGGTGACAGAGATGCAGTAGACGGGCGACGGGCAGCACGTTAGACCCCACGTACATCAGCACGAAGAAGAACAGACCTGTCGTGTAGACGGTAGACAGGGCGGGGTTGTCTGTCAACACCTCGCACAGCAGCGTGGCCACCTGTCAACATAAGTGGGTCAAAACAACCCACCTTCTCACCGCCCCTAACAAAATTTAGAGTCGCCCCTAACAAAATTTAGAGTCGCCCCTAACAAAATTTAGAGTCGCCCCTAACAAAATTTAGAGTCGCCCCTAACAAAATTCAACAAAATTTAGGGTTGCCCCAGCTTCTGTAAATTTCCAATGGGGAGTGGGTCACAACAACCCACCTTCTCGACAATGTCGGGTCAAAGGTGAGCAGGAGCTGGGTGAGGGTGGGTCACAACAACCCACCTTCTCGACAATGTCGGGGTCAAAGGTGAGCAGGAGCTGGGTGAGGGTGGGCAGACAGAGTGGGTCACAACGACCCACCTTCTCGACAATGTCGGGGTCAAAGGTGAGCAGGAGCTGGGTGAGGGTGGGCAGACAGAGTGGGTCGGAGGTGTAGCGGCGCACCCTGGCCAGAGGGCGGACGACGCAGCCGTCGGGGGTGCGGGGCGGGAAGTACGAGCACATCCCCGTCAGCAGGGACAGGCACAGGGATGCTAGGGCGCTCTCCGTCAGTACCGGGGTGCCCTGGGGGTCATTAGTGGTTGTTAATGGTTATGTAATTGTTAATGCATTGTTATATAATGGTTAGTGAATGGTTATTGAACGGTAAGTGCCCTGGGGGTGATGAGTGGTTGTTAATGGTTGTATAACGGTTAGTGAATGGTTATATAATGAGTACTGAATGGTTATATATCAGCACCGCGGTGGCCTGGGGGTGAATAATGGTGAATATTGGTAATATAATGGTTGGTGAATGGTTATTGAATGGTTATATAATGACTACTGAATGGTTATTGAACGGTAAGTGCCCTGGGGGGGGGGGATGCTAAATGGCGACTAATGGTGATTAATGGTTGTATAATGAATAGTAAATGGTTATACAATGGTTATCGAATGGTGATTAATATTGATTAATGGTTGTTTGATGCGTCAGACGTGGCCTCTACATCTGCGTCAGCAGCGTCAGACGTGGCCTCTACATCTGCGTCAGCAGCGTCAGACGTGGCCTCTACATCTGCGTCAGCAGCGTCAGACGCTACAAGGGTCTAGCCCCTTAAGACCCCTGGGACCCTAAGGACCCATCGTGGCGAGTATAGCCTCTACATCTGCGTCAGGAGTATGAGGGTCTACAAGGGTCTAGCCCCCAGGACCTAAGACCCACCGTGGCGAGCAGGGTCCACTTGAGCTGCGGGACCTGGAGGAGGGGCTTCCAGCCCTCCAGACCCTGGGCCCACACGAGGGTCTTGGCGGTGATGGCCCCGTCAGCGTAGAGCTCCTTCAGCTCGGGGAAGCTGTAGGGTCCAGCCCGGGTCTTGGCGGCGTCCTGCGACAAGGTCTAGATCACTACAAGGGTCTAGGTCAATACAAGGGTCTAGGTCACTACAAGGGTCTAGATCAATACAAGGACAAGGGTCTAGGTCACTGCAAGGGTCTAGGTCAATACAAGGGTCTAGGTCACTACAAGGGTCTAGGTCAATACAAGGGTCTAGGTCACTACAAGGGTCTAGGTCAATACAAGGGTCTAGGTCACTACAAGGGTCTAGGTCACTACAAGGGTCTAGGTCACTACAAGGGTCTAG